TTTTTGTTGCTTTTTGTTGGAAAAGTTATGTAGTAAATCTTAGCTATATAAAAGGTGTATCAAAGTAATAGAGTTCAGATTTTGAAGAGAAATGCAATGGGATTGTTTTCCTTTGTGAGAAGATTCAATTGTTTTGAGGGCAAGATAATAGAGTTAAACTTAAATGTGATATATTTTGAGGAGAGATTCAATTATTATACAAATAAATGAGGTGATTTTAAGGCAAAAATATTTGAGCTATAATTCATCTTTTCTACAATAAAAAATGTCATTATCCTTACCATGCATTTACATCAAGTTGAAAAGGTGGAAAATAAAGCCTTTATCATAAAAGGGATGGAAATAGCTAAAATATTTTAGTATGAAAAGGATTATTCCTTTTTTATACAGAAAAAATGGAGCTTAATGGGAAAAACATTAAGGAGAATTGATAATTAAGGTTGCGTTTGGAAATGATGCAAATGGAGTGTAAATCTCGGCTCAGGGTAAATTTTTCACTCTGGTTCACTTTTGCCTGTGTTTCGCGACATTACATTTATGCATTGACAAATGATGGACCAATGCATATTTACATTGATAATAAGATGTAAAAGTATAATAATAAAAAATAAGTAAATTTTCATTCAAGTGGACTTTTGATAAAAAAAAAAAAGCATATGCTTTATTGGAATTCATGTTTGCATATCCATTACAGTTAAAAGTCTGTTTGGTAAGAAGGTAACTTTGTCAATGCAAAACTAACTCAATTTTACAATTTATATGAACCATTTTACACTCTACATATTTGCATTCACACTTATTTACATTATTTCCAAACACAGTTTAAGGCTCAGTTTGAAAAGAGTACAAATACAAATTTGTAGAATGCAAAACTATGGATCTTTTGTGATGACCTGAACCCGTTATGTAGAGAGAGAGAGAGAGATATTATTTACATTTTCTGATTTGAAATAATGAGGAAACTTTAGTGTCTAGTGGTTTTTTATCTGGTGGTTTGGCATYATATTTTATAAAACATATATATAGATACTGATTCTGATCAAAYGGATATTACCTTACTTTTATATTTTTATTTTGTTTATACTTAGGACCCAAATTCACTTAATTGTGGTTTGATCTGGTCCATAGAACACATTTTTATTTTGTTTATTTCTGAATCAAATAACACATTTTTGTTTTTCACTTTGCTTTGAAAAGCACACATCCAATAACACATTTTTGTTATTCACTGATATGTTTTTTCCTGAAAAAAAAAATCATAGTCTCATAGATAACATCCACAGCAGCAGATTGCTGGGTTACATGGTGTGACAATTGCTGTCTGGCTGTACCACTAAAAATTGCTTTGTATGTTGTGGATGAAGGCTTGGGGAAAATGTCTTATGAAGGATTAATTAATTAGTAGAGACATGCAGATCCTTGACTCAAGGTGTATGCTCTGTCACCAAGATCTGGAAACTGCTTAAGAAGTTAAGATCTTTTTATCCATTGCGCAAAGAGTAGGAGAATCTGAATTTTTCTCTTGGCATCCTTAAATATCAGTTGGTGCTTTCAGTGTTCTGTGAAGGAATACTTGCGGAGTCGATATATTCATGGCTTCAAGAGAATGGGAAAACTGGC